GAGACAGGGTCTCCCTATAGCCCCAGCTGGCCTGGAACTCACTATGTAGTCCAGGATGGCCTTGAACTCGCACCCACATAGTGCCTAACAACCATCTGTAACTCCAGATCCTCGTCTGACCTCCACTGCTATTGCATGACATGGATGCACTTACATACATATAGGCAATACACTCATGCACATAAAATAAAAAAAAGATCATAAACATGATCAAAGAATTCAAGGAATTTAAAAATCACAAAATCAAACAACTCAAGGAAGATTATACAAAAGCTATTAAAACAATTATAAGAATAAATTCAATTGTCACTTAAGTATCTAAAGCTATTTTCCTTTGTGTTCTTCCAGAATGATATGATCTTATTCTTTACCTTAATTTGAGGGACTTCAAGAAGAAGGTTCCTACCTGCATCAGTGTAGTGGCTCTCATTTCAGCAGACCCCCACAGAGTGCCGAGTTCTTGACTCCCTCTGTCCTCCCTCTGGCAGAGGGCCTGAAAACAGAGGGGACTGCCTGAGAACCCCTATATTCTGCCTCCACATGGTAGTGAGATTCCCCTAATTGTGCCATACCCATCCCCCAACCTGGTAATTTGTAAGACCCCTCCCAAGGCCCCAGGGCAGATCTGGTTTTGATAGGGGAAGGCTGAGATCCCAGCAGACAACCTGAGAGGGTGGACTGCCTGAGAGCGTCCAGATCCTGCCTCTACGTGGTGAAGGAAGTCAGAGTGTACCTGACTGAAACCTGATTTGGGCTTCTGTGGGTACCCCTGAATAGCTGATCTGAAGCCATCTGTTCCCTCCAAAATAAACCTGAGAGAACCTGAACCTTGTACCAATCAGCTTTACATAACCAATAAAGAAAGGATCTTGGCACGCAGATAATAAAATAGAAGCATACTTTAGCTTAATTCTCATATCAGAATCATAAACAACAAAATAAATTCACATGCCAAAAGCAGAAGGAAAGAGTAATAAAATGGAAAGCCAAAACATTATGTCCCCACCAAACTTCACCAATTCTGTAGAAGAGTTCTTCAAGGAGAGCCCTCTAGAGATAACCCAGGACACTGAATTTAAAAGAACAATCATAAACGTGATTATGGAATTCAACGATTTTAAAGAACACAGGAACTAACAAATCAAAGAACTAAAGAAGATAGGGATAAACTTCTGAATCAATCTTCACAAAAAATATAGAAACATTGAAGAAAACTCAGGCAGAAATGAAAAGGAAGTGAAAAACTCAATAAGCCAACTTGAAACAGCAGGGGAAAGCCTCACCTCTAGAATGAATGAAATGGAAAACAGAATATCAACACTAGAAGATAAAGTTGAAGAACTGAACCACTCAAGCAAAGATTATGGAAAATTTTTAAAACAAACACAACACAGAAATGGAGTATGCAAGAGATGTGGGACACCATGAAAAGACCAAATCTATGCATAATAGGAATAGAGGAAGGAGAAGAATTTCAGGTTAATGGTGTTGACCAGATCTTAAACAGGATTGTAGAAGAGAATTTCCAGAAATTAAGGAAAGACATCTGTGGGGCTCTCCCTCCCCTCATCGGCTGTTGGCCATCAACCCACGAGAACAAAGGGAGCAGAAGCGACGAATGGGGTCAGGAAGGCCAGTGAGCATGGACGGAAAAGACCTTCCAGGAGACTGTTTCAGTGATACAGCTCGTTTATTCAGTGGGGGTCAGGGAAAAATATAAGGTGGAGATGGTAGCCAAAGCTTCACCTGATAGGTTTTCATAGCATACTTTATTTGAATGTGCCAGGAGAACCCTATCATCTGGTTATAGGGCAATGCCTAATTGTCATATAGAAAAAACCTGGGGGCAGTTTTCGAAGGTAACTATGCTGAAGGTCATGTACCAAATAAGGCCAGGCATCTGTGCTTGGAGACACTTTCCAAACAAGGTCAGGCAGAGACCAGGAAGACCCTGCTAAGAAAGGAGATGACCTTAACATCAGGGTTCCCCAACATCTCCCCCTTTTTATTTTATAATGGAGTGGTGTCATCACAAGCTTTAAGAGCCAATTCATTTATATCAGGAGAATCCAAGGTCTGATAATTGACCATGACCTGATTGGTAGTAATTTTAGCAATAGTGGCAATTAGTCAGCTAAGAAATTGTATGAAACAGCAAACAAGCATCAAAATAACACAGCATAATCAGGGGACTATTGATATTGTAACATTCCCCCCTTTGAAGAGGTAACCCCAAAATCTTTTAGGGATAAGAGCTCCCAAATACTTTTAACATTTTTGTCCTTTGAGGCAGAGTACTTGCTAAAAGGCCCAAGGACATTTGGACTTTTAGCCAAGAAAGAAACTGTCTACTTTTGGGGGGGGTATTTTTACCCTAGCTGTCTAGCCAATTTCTATCTCCTATTCTTATCATACCACACTCTGAAGAGGCTTACCCAAATTGCCAATAGGGAATTGGGACGCAGACCACTCTGACTTCTTCTGTGCTGAACATGGATGCAGGGTGTGGGGTACCCCCTTCAGTGGGTCTATCTAAAAGACTCCCAAATTGCATAATTCTTAACTATAGGGAGAAAAGGAAGGTGCTTGACAGGTGGCTGGGAGATGTGAAGGAAAAGTAAAGGTAAGAGTAAATGCAAGAGTAGTGTATTAGGCAGGGTTTTACAAAAAAACAGAACCGGTAGAAAGAATATGTATGTATAGATATTTATCAGCTTCACTCACAGGATAGAGTCCGAGTAGTCCAACAACGGCTGTACCACAATAGAGAGGCTGAGAATCCATAGTCACTCAATCCATGAGGCTGGATGTCTCAGTAGTCCCAATGTGGCTCTGAAGGTCTGACAAATTGCACAAAAATCAGCTAGTCTTCAGTCTACAGCAACAAGACAAACTCACCAGTGAGAGAGAAGGCAAGGAGCAAGAAGCCAGGCATTCTCCTCTGCCATGGCCTTTATATGGGCTGCCATCAGAGGTAACACCCACAGTTAGGGTGTGACTTCCAACATCAGATGATCCAATCAAGAAGATCTCTCTCATTTCAGATAATCCCAGATCCAGTCAAGTTGACACCCAGGATTAGCCATCACAAGTAGTTAGTTTTACAATTTCTAGGCAGGGAACCAGAAAATGTCCAAATTAAAGTCCACTGGAATTTCTTGATGTGGGCTTCCAAAAGCATCCATCTAATGGGTTTCTCCTCATTTTTCTTTTGTCTGTTAAGGCTGGACTGATGATTGATGAACACAGGAGTTGTTGTCAGGCACTTTGATAACTTTTGGAGTGGCTAGAATCAGCTCCCTCTTAAATGGCATCTAGATAGGGAGAGAAAACAAATTTAGCCATCATTTTAGAAATATAGTAAGTTGTTTCCCTCAGTTGTAGGTGGGCACTACAGTATTGCCGGCCAAGAATTAAAGTCTTAAATCTGAGTAGCGTTGTCTTATTAGGAACAAAATCATCATTGACAAATAATTGTGTAAATAACATCTTTTAAGAACTTGAGTCTAATGTTTGGGATGTCTAATC